CCTTCATCGTCATCGTCATTGTCATCGGAAAGTACATCATCGTGGACAAGGTCCCTATATTTCTTGTGCTGTTGCTGCTTTGTTGCTGTTGTTGTTGCCGTTACCAACTGTTGGCCACACCTCAGCCAACGGGGCGCTAAACTTTAATAACTCAGTTAAACAGCTTATGGGCAATTTCACGGCCCACAAAGTGTTTTTTGAACATGACCCGCGGTGTCGGCGGTCGTCATGTTGTGCTTTTAACATGAACGCCCACAGCTACGCCCCTACATGCTGCACAGCTCCCTAAAGGCCACCAACTCCCCCCGACATGGCAACATACTCTGCATTACATGGTTGAGACCGACCGCCTCGGCCTGGAGGCGATGGCCAGTTGCTTCCTGTGTGCACTTTTGAAATTTTTGCGGATACCGAAATTTAATTTCCTTTGTAGCATTTTTATTGCTATTTATTATTATGATTATTATGTAGTATGCTCTGCCCGTTTGTTTGCCGATGGCAGCGACGACATCAACATCAACAGCAACAGCAACATCGACGACGACGATGTTGGCGCTATTGATGGCGTTACTCGATGGCCAGAGAGATGCTTGTGCGGCCGCCATTATGGGCGCCATAAATTTGTTTGCTTCCCATGGTCATTGTTGCTGGCACTTCGGCGATGACGCCGACGTCGACGTCGACGCCGACGACGGCGGGCGCGAACAAGAACCCTTCGATATGCAAACAAAAATATTTGTGCAAATTGTTTCACCCCACCAGCGGTGAGCGATTGAAGTGTTGTAAAATTTATGGCCAACCATAAGCCTGCTCGGCCGCCTATACACTTGACAAAAAAGCTTAGCAAATCTAAATATACATATAAACGTTGCAAACGTTTGTCGACATTCGATTATTTCCTAATCCCCATTGTTAAATCAGGGTATCATAGACTAAGGTGTGTTTCCTGTCTTCAGCATCTATGGCTTTTTTACTAATGTAAGCACGCAACCTAAGCAAGTCTTATCCTTCTAGGGCTTGCCAAGTCTTTAAAGAGTTCGCACCAATTTATTTAATGTGCATGCAATTTTGTGGCATTTATTTATGTAAATTAACTGCAAAATCGTACAATATATATATATATATATATATATGAATAGCGAAATAGAAAATGAATCGAACTAAGCCTTCGAATGTTTGAAATGTTAAGGTTAAATTCGCAAAGTCATGACCACAAAGAGACCATAATTAGAAAAATAATTAAATAGTTGCAAAATATTTTCAATACATACAAGTGTTAAAAAGTTAAAATAAAAATTTTAAAAAAATATTTGACGACGTTCATTTGCATTTTAAGGCCGATGTATGGCGGTTGCGGCAAAGAGTCCTGGTAGCAAGGTACAAGTTTTCTTTAAAGCACTCACGAATTTGATTAATTTGTATTAATATCTAAAAGTTTATAATAAATGATTATTAATGTATATGAGTGCTCTTAGAGGAAGGCGGTAACAATTCGTATTAGGGATGAGACTTTTTAAAACATCTTGTTATAAATATAATAATATATTTTATTAGCAATATTTTAATCCATATAATAATATTATTCAAATCAGTCTTCAAAAACAGATCTTGTTTTACAGCTGTCAGTCTGGCAAGGCAGAGGATTACTTTAACTGAATTATCATTCTTTACTGAAACACTTTATTGTTAGGCATAATCAAATTATGCTAAAATGTGCATTTTAAGACTATTTGGAAATTATGTGTCCAGCGTTTAATGCAAATCGGTATTTGATTTAAAAAATTAAGAAATGGGAGCGGTCGGAAAACCCATAATTTATATTTCCATTCTATTGATACTACTTCATCTTTATCATCCTTTAAGAAGAACATATTGAAGGCTTTGTAAATAAACGCATTGACTTAACATTCTGTTTAAATGCGAGTCTACGTATGCGTGTTGTAATGTAAATATTCTTAGCAGTCCACAAGTGGGAATGGAGAATTTAATAATGATTATACTATATTGCAAGTATTTTCATATTATTTATAAGAGATCCCTTTCACTTAAATATATTGTAAAAATCTGAAAACAAACTTGAACTCTTAACACTAACAGTTTGCTCATCATAGGATCGTTTATTAATAACTACAATTTATTCACTGTATCTGCCTGGCCGGCTCTTAGTCTTCGCCTTCCCAAGTATGTTCATACAAGTATTTCAGTATTTTTGGCAAAATAATAGATAATTGCCGTTTTAAAAGAAATCCCTTTCACTTCAAATAAGTATATTGTGAAAATCATAATTGAATTCTTAACACAGTTTGCTCATCATAGGATCGTTTATTAACCATTCAGGATTATAATTTTTTCACTGTATCTGTCTGGTGTGCCCGGCCGGCTGTTGGTCTTCGCCTTTCCATTGTTATGCTGAAATATTAAATTTCCAAGCTGCTGCTTGTTAAAAACTATAAAATTTCATGATTTATTCTGTGACAAGTTTTTAAGCAGCGATCGCTCTCTCTCCCTGTCTCTGCATCACTGACACCTTGTAAAGGAGGACACACGCCAAAGGACTTGTTATGTCGCTAACCAAGCGCATTGGTGTTGGTTTTCTAGTCTTTTCTTAAATTTTTTTATGTGGTAGCCAAACTTCCATAACTTTGGCATAAGAACATCAACAACAACAACAACAACAACAACTGCTTGGCATACGTTTAAATCAAGCTGCTGAAGCTGCCATAAAAGATGACCACCAACAACAACAGACATAACAAGAATGAGACGCAGGCAGGCAGGCTGGCAGGCTGGCAGGCTGGCAAAAAGGGGCATACAAATTATTATATCCATGCTTAACCCTTTTGCGCCTGACGTAATGCGTTGTGGCCGTACCCATGACCGCGGGCTTTAAGCTCTTACACACGTACCCGACCGTTAACGGCCGAACCTTGGGTTATGCTTTGGTTTATGGGCAGATTTCAAATCTAAAAAGATTTTCGTGCCGTTGCCCCAAAAAACTAACTTCGGGTCGTCGTCTAAGCATTAAATTTTTTCCAACCACACCCCCCTGCCCGTTTCTCACAAACAGTTTCTTGCCCTTCCCCTGTTTTGTAAATTAAACCCACAAATAAGCAAACAAATTCATATGCCCGGGACTGTCCATTTTCTTTCGCTGGCCATCATTATTTCAGTTAGTGGGGGGTAGCCCATGAAACGAAATGTGTTTCGGTTTCTTGGGGAAGTTTATCAAAACAGAAGATTTGTTCAGGCATAGCGTTTTGAACAAAAGGGCTTGTCATTTTCGCATTTCTATAACCAAGAAGAGCTTTCAACTGTATATTTAAATGCCAGTTCGTCTATTTAGTATTCCCTAATTCCCTCCATCGGTGTGTGCGTGTGTGCGGCTGTCCGGGTGTGTGTGTTTGGTCGGCGATTCAATAATGAAGTCGAATGCGTTGACAAATTTATTTAGTTAATTTGCGTTTGACACGCCATTTTTGAGTTTTGGCCACACGGCAATGAAATGAAAATGAAATTTTTGGCCAGGCCACGGGGGGCTGGCAATGGGTCCCAAGGGCTTGCGGTACCGAGCCTGTCATCAATGGGCCAAAATGGGACGAAATGGGCCGAAATGGGCAGAAATGGGCGCGTTGACAGGCGTCACGATGCGCATTTCACATTTTTATGATGAGGCCAGCCGCAAAACCAACAACAAGACAATTAATGTGCGCGCGTGCGTGTGTTCGTTTGTATGTGTGTGTGCGTGTGTGTGTGTGTGTGTGTGTGTGTGTGTGTGTGTGTGTGTGTAGAAAAGTGAGTCGCTAATAGCAGACACTAAAACCCGCCTACAGAACCAGAGACAGCAACAGCGATAGCAACAAAATAAAACGCTCTACACGATTGTATACGACTACGGGAAATTCTAGAATGAAGGCAATGCTTCAAGATCGAAAAGAAGTCGATAGTAATTATGTCAGCAATATATATAAAATATTGTGGCTTTGGCAGCTGAAGAAGATAGCTTAAACGAGGCACACACAACATATGGTGTTACGATCGTAGATTTCGACAAGTGCACAAAAAAATAGTTTTCAAAATTCAAATTCATGTTCAAAATGAATTATTTAAATGGTAATTATTTATCATAAACAGATTAATCTTAATAAAAGGAAACTTTTCGTGCTAAACATTTTTTTCTCGCTTGCAAGAGAAAGAAATCTTATTTGTAGCTCACCTTATAAGATAAGTGTGTTTTACTTAATGCTTTCATCAACTGAAATGGCCTTTCCAAGCTACTAGAACATGCGAATGCTTCTTCTAGCTTTTCTATAGTTGACTACAGGTTGATTTATAGGTTCAGTTTCTTCAGAGTTGTTGTCATCTGATTTTGAGTTGCTCTCATCAAGCAACGCTATTTCGAATAATAGTTCGTTCGCCATGCCTTTATCTTCTCACAACTCTCTTCGAATGCTGCACCCTCAATTAAATGAAAGGAGTTCACATTGTGAGAATTGTAGTTTTGTGGGTTTAAACAATCGCTGCTGATAATTTCTTCCAATATCCATTTAATGTTGCCTCCCTAAGCGAGATAAAATAAGCAACTGGAGATTTCTTTCCAGCACTGATTATATCGATGAAGTTAGTTTCAGTTGCAGCAGAAATCCTAGTATAGAGTATAGAGCGCCAGATATACATATTTGTAATGGTATGTTTTTATATTAATTGCATGACCTCGGGAATATTCCAAGATGATAGGTTAGCTAAAGTAATACTCTTCATTTTAAAATATTTATCAATTGCTATCGTGTAAGAACGAGCTTTTCAAAGGGAACAAATTTATAAAGAGTGCTAGGTGTATTTTATGCTTCTGAGTATAATAGACACTCTATCAACCTTCGTATGGAGGTTATAAAAACGATATCGATATCAGTAGGCTGCCGTCGTTACGACTAGAGCAAAGCAATTGAAATTAAACAAAAACTTGCCACAACGTTTTAGAAAAATTAACATCGTAAACTTGTTTAGATATTCGAAATCAAAAGTAATTCTTCGCTCCCCATGTCGAATTTGGAAGAAACCAGTGAGTCAGCGAGTCAGTCGTCGGAGTCCTTGCAAGTGGTTCCGGGCAAAATAGAGGATGAGAGACTGAATAGTTTTCTAGCGAAGGTAATCGAGGGCTCGATACCACCTGAAATGTGCCCCTCACTGCTCGAACTCTACGAGACTATTCTTCTTTCTGATATCCCGGCCAAGAAGTACAGCCCGAAACCCGATGTCGGCAAAACTGAAACTGAATGCATTCCAAATCAGGAGGCTTATTTAACCAAAGGAGCGGTTCACTCGTTGCTTACTAGGATGCTAATGGAGGAGAATTTCAATTATTCGTTGTATGCTTATGCGCTTAACAAGCGGTTTATGGATAAAATGTTTGAGCTTTTCCGATCGCCAGACTATCGGGAGCGAGGAAGTGTTACGCTGGAACTCAATATCATATACCAGCACTGTGAACCGTTGCGTGTCCCAATGTTTAGTCGTGTTAAAAACGACCTGATGGAGTAAGTTTTTTGTCTGTTCAGTCATCATGTTTGAGCTTAAAATTTAAGGAGTTTGCTCGCAGCTATCAACAGATGGTTTCATTTTCGCAGGATTACAATACTGTTGCTGCCATGTTGAACCTCTTGAGCGATATGTTGCTAATGGAAGAGCCTTTGCCGCCGGGTGAGCCTGCAAAATTGCTCTCGAGTGTACTTCTGCCCCTTCACAAGCATCCGCACCTGACGATCTTCCAGGCTGAGCTTGTCGATGCCATTGTCCACTGTGAGTTACGAGAAAATTCATTTGGTCCAGTCATTGCTAAATATTTTCTCATAAAATGGCCGCACACTGCGGTGGAGGAGCGCTCAACATTCGACTTTTTTGTCTGTGTAATGAAGAAAATGCCGTTTGTGTGGATAGATCCGATAGTTAATCTATTTTTTCGTCGTCTAACTCACTGCTTGATCTCACACTGCGAGGTGGTGCATGAGACGGCCTGGAACTTTACGGAAACGGGCTTTGGCCACAACATGACACAACAGTATGAAGATGAGTTTTTGGAGGTAGTCCTTTCAAAACTTATTAAGCCATCCATTGAACATTGGTCGCGTAAGGTGCGCTGCAATTTGGGCTTAATGTTGGCCAGAATAGATCAAGACGAAAGATTGAAACTATTCACCGACCATGGTCACGAATATTGGCCCAATACCCACAAGTTAAGGCACAACGATTTCGAATATCCCAATGAGCTGCCAAGTGATTTTTATTTTAATTCGGATTAATCATGCCGGATAAAACTGTTCTATTGTCTTTCTCTATAGTACATATTTTTAATCAAAATAATGTTATCTGCCATAAATTAAGCTTAGAATTAATGTTAATAAATATTAACACTTAAAATAACTCTCTATAATATATATATTTAATAAAATACTTTGATCTGCAATCAGAACTTGGCATTGAATATTAAGCAAGCAATAATCGGATATGCGATAACCTTTCTCCAGAACTGTACAGCAAAGCTAAATCAGCATATTTGTTGTCCTTATTAACCTTTAAAATAACTCTCTTTAATAATTTTTTTTAAGTAAAACAATAATTCAAAACTTGACATTGAAAATTATTAGAAATTCGATTTTTTTCTCCAGAACTGTAGAACGAAGGTACTTTAACATATTTTTTGTCCTTAATAACATTAGTAATGACTCTCTATAACTATATATATACTTATAAAATACTTTTAATATGCAATAATTCAGAGTTTAGTAAGCAATAATGGAATGTGCGATACTTTTTCTCCAGAACTATGCAACAATGCTTGTTCAGCATATTTGTTCATATTAACATTTAAAATAAGATTTAGTAATAATATTTATGTGGACAACAGCAATAAATTGTTACAGAAAACGAATTTAAATATCCGTAAGAATATAATGTTGTCTTCGAGCCAATGTCGACATTATACACATTATACAAAAAAAGAAACATTGCTGGCTCCATAAGATTCAAAACCTTCAGAGGTATTTCAGCAATAAGCTCTTGCAATGCATTTCTACTTCAGTGTCTAGTTAAATGTACAATCAAGTGTGTACAAAGAACATTTCGAAAATTTCCAGAATACTTGTTTTTTTTCTCCCAGTTTGTGCTCTAACTTGTCCCGGAACTTGCGTGTCAGCTATCCATTGTTCATTACATTAAATGCTGGCCATCATTTTTACTTACCGTTCCATATTCTGTGTCTGTCTGCCTGTCTGTGTGTGTGTGTGTGTGTGTGTGTGTGTGTGGCCACTGTTTGTTTATTTAACTGATAAAATGATTATTAATTATGAAGTTATTTGCAATTGCAAATATGGCGATTCATTTAAGTCAGCGACTTGGCTGGCGCCTCGGTTTCTGCCGCTTTTGTCGTTTGTGGCGAATATGGGTGTGTGTGTGTGGATTGTTGTTTGGCACAATAACTTGTTTATTTATTGATTAAATGCGAACGGGTGTGGTCGGTGTTCGTGTCCGGCATTGTTTTTGTGGCTGACATTTGTTAAGGCAATTAAGTGATGAAAAAAAAACGTGAGTTCATTTTGATGCCATCGCATCGCACATACGCCGTGTGGCCCAATCAGGGCAGTAGGAAGGAACGAAAGAAAGAAAGAGCCAAAGGGAGTTCAAGCCGGGAGGTGAAGCGTCCTTGTAAGTAGAAGGCACTTCAACAAATGTGGCTTGTTGTTGTCACTGTTGCCTGCAACTACTTGAGCTCGCCACTCGTCGTCCACACAAACCGGCAACTGGGAGTTGGCAACTGGCAGCTGCATACATTAGCCTAAGCGCAACTCCTTTTTTTGTTTTTGTTTTTGTTTTTGTGGCGTTGTGGGCGGTCGTCACAGTTCGTTACACTTTTTCTGCCTCAGCGCAGCACCCTCCACCTCCACCTCCACCACCACCAGCCAGCCAGTGACGTCTTTAGCGTCAACTTCAACTTCAACGTCAACGCCGCTCACTTGCAGAGCTGCCGGAAACGGAAATAATTTGTCATTTTATTTCTATTTTATGATTATTTATTTTTGCAGCGTTTTGTGGCCTAAACTTATGCCTCAATTTATGCTGCACACACACACTGAGAAACACACTCATACGCCCACACAGAGACTCGCTCACCCATACATTAGCATTAGTTGGCTTCGAGTCAGTTTGCCTCTAAGTGGCAGCAGTTGTTGCATGCTCTGGGGCGCTGTTTTCCCTATTTATCTAGCCCACACGACACTGTGGGCCGCAGTTGGCCCAGAATAGAAAAGTTGATAATGTTTTGCTAAATCGATAACAAAACTGCTTTGCAGGCAAATTAGGGAAATGTTCGTTCTGACTTTGCGTAATTGTTGAAAACAATTCGTATTAATAACAATTGTTATGCGATTATATATCAACAGTGCCGACTTCATTAACCCTGTTTATCGACCTTAGCGCTAATTAATTGCTTTCACAGCTCACAAAAAATAACAAAAAACTGAAATGAAATTGGCTCTTTTTTTTTTAAATTAAATGTATAACAAACAAAGTGAAATAATTCAGCGACAAGTTTATGTGCTAGATTTTATCAAATATTTTGCATAATTATTTTTTATCAATATTGCTATAAATTGTACACATTTTCAAGTGTTGGTGGAGTTTTGATCGCAATCGAAATGAATGTAGAAAATGTTGTAAGGCTTTTGTTGATAACGAATGGTGTGTAGATTTTCTATTAAATGAAAAATCCTTGTTATTATGTTTTTCATTTTATTACCGATTCATAGACATTTGATTGATGATTGATTTTGATTTTTTAAAGAACAAATAATGGTAAATTAATCAAATTACTAAAAGTGAAAACTTAAATACAATATGAATAACGTTTACATTTATTTTTTGGTTGCAAAAAAGAATCAAACTAATAGTGCGGCCGAAACAGCCGACTATTTAGAAATTATGAGCAATTTGGAATTAAAACATTTCATATAGAAATACATTTTTACTGAAATATTATTATTTCAAAAAATTATTGCATAATAAATAGATTTTCAGTGTAGCCAGATATCAATAGAAACTTCTACATTTTTTGTATGGTATTGCTGCTGCTTATCTCTTTTGTGTGCTGTCCCACTGTGCAGGGTACTTACGATGATCGCCCCCGGCCATTGCTGTCCAGCTTGCCATTTCCGTCCTCCGCTCCCGTCCTCCTGCATATCGCTTACACTTGCACATGCTTAGTGGCCGGACGGACGCCTTCATCTACTTGTATACATAAGTCAAATTTTGGCCACTCTGTGCCTGATTGCTCCCACTCGAAGTGGATGGGAATGTGGATCTGGATATGGATCTGGATGGCATTGCCGTGGAATTAGTGGCTGTTATGCCTTACGGTCCTGTTTGTTTTACTTGTTGTTGAGTACACTTGTGTGTCTACAAGTGTATATGTGTGTGTGTATTTTCTTTTTTTTTTTGTCATTTTATTTATGTGCTCTGCCTGGCGGGTGGTCGCCACTGACCACTGATACAGTGATTTTTCATGTGATGATTAATTAACTTGCGCGACCAACTGCCAGTCAGCGCTCCTACAATCCACCCGCACCCCCTACCCCCATGAGAGTGCACCACGAGAGTCGCTAGGAGAGTCCACCAGGAGTCTGGCATGAGCTGTGCCTGCGCATTTACTTGTGTAGCTCGTGCTGGGCTTAATGTTTTGTATATGGCACTACGTGAGCTCCAACTTTTTTGCATATAGAGGTAGGGTGTGGGTGTGGGGGTTGGGATGGTTGCTGTATCCAAGCACGGGCCATAAATTAATGGAACAACGACAAAGGAATAGGGAGGGGGCCTACAATGAACTGTTCGCCCAAAAATTCGTCTACCGCTCAGGTGCGAATTATTTGACTCTCTTGTTGCTGCGGCGGCGTCTGCTGTGTTTAATTTCCACTTGACCACCTTTTGCGGCAGTTTGTGGGCGCTGGAACGCTGGAGGCGAAGGGCAGATGGGCATATTGCATGTTAATTGCCTCGGCCTCAAAATGAAAACCAAAAGGCAGCAGGGCAAAAAAAAGTGAGGCAAAGTTAAGCCGGCAAAGAAAAACTTGCGCAGGCAGTACTGCGAATCACTCTTAATGAGTTGGAAAATGCAAACAAAGCGTAGCAGAAGCCATTCACTCAGAAAAATAACAACGAAGTCTAAGGATAACGTTAGGCAACAGTACCAAGAACTAAATAGACTTTAAATAAAATACTATAAGGTGGAAATTTGAAATATATTCCACTCCGTTCAGTACTCCAAATCATTAAATAGGGCTTCTAAATTTGTTTATAGAACCAATTTTTGAATTGATGAACTGTCAAATGAGAGAAAATAATATTGCAAACAAAGCACATAAGAAATTAAATACTTTTTCTTCACTTTACAAAATTTCAAAAATGTTCATTCTTCAGCCTGCAATTGGTATCTTTAGTTTTCTGCCCTCCAAATAAGTTTAGTAGTTTTTACATTCTTTTCTCCCATTTCTTCAATTGCCTCGAAAAACTGTAAAACTATAAAATAATATTGATGATTAATATATTTCGGTATTCTATATTTCTGTGAGTGTTGACTTGACGGCTGTGGCTCGCAAAGTAATGCAGAACGTAGTCCACTCGGACTTCGAATATGGCAACATGAATGGCGGCGCTCAAAAGTCAACTTGAGAGGCATAAAAAAGAGGAGGAAGTTACGCAAAAAGCGCCCGGATATTACAATATAAAGCGGCAGCGTTGGGGGCGTAACGCTCACTAGCTGGTGGGCGGGGCAAATTAATGCAAACAAAGTCGAATGAAAACTATGGGGCCTAAACGCTTGCCGCCAATGCATTCCAGTAATTCACTTGATGGACGCCGGCGGCCTTTTTCTCCCCAACTTTTTTGCAAACGACAACTTTGCGTTTTATCAACGACTTTCTGGCACATTGTTTACTTTTATTTGAATATTATTAAAAAATGCAGGACGCTCCATTTCCGTTTGCGGCTTTGGCATGGAAATCCAGAAAAAAACCAGAAGAAAGCGTAATGTTTTCAGCCAATTATGGCCAGTAGTATTTTGTGTGTGTGTGTGTGTGTGTGTGTGTGTGTGTGTGAAGGCATCGTCAGACCCAGCCGTCAGTTAATAACTGGTAACTGGCGCGGATTCATACTCTGGGTAGACACACAACTCTCTGCTCGCAGCTCTCGGCAGCGCAGAACATGAGTTTGCCAAAAAAAAAAAAAAAAAAAAAAAAAAAAAACCAAAAAAAAACAGAAAAACAGCCGCTAAGCAAGAACTTTTATCCAGATGTGGCCAGTTTAATAAAAGAAGGCACA